CATGTTTTAACCAGTATCGGTTAACGTATTTTGGAAGTTCTATTTTATGCATGCAAGATTTGTTAGATAATATTCATCATCCAAACATTTTTGCGTATTTACGTGCTCTTGGTATTTTTAACTGTATATAAATGTTTTAATACATTTGCAATTTTATTCACTTTACTTACTTCATGTATTTTATATCATATTCACACTTTTATCTGATTTTATTCATCAACTTATACAATTTTATCAGTTATAATTATACGAATAACTAAGTGTTGCACGCATCATGTCTTATGAACTGTTTTTACCGTATTGTTTGGCGCAGCATGTCCTTATTTGGACTTTGTGCCACTAAACCCTACATTCAATCCAATCCTTAAATAGCTTTTGTTATTAATATTATTAACAGTTTTTATCTTTTGATTACTCGTCGCCCCCTGATCGCCCCCTTGTGGGACTCTATCGCCCCCTTTGGGGCAATCGCCCCCAGGTTGGGAACCACTGGAATAAACCCTTCCCAGAAATGAAGGGGGGGGGGAAGAAAGACAGATGTAAACGAACTAAATTTTGTCTTCGGCAGACTCTTCTTCCTTTATTCGTCCGAAATGAATATTTTGTGTTCAGCAGTATAGGCTAAATACCAAATATTTATATGTTGCATCGCTAATTTAGTAGCTGCAATTGCTGTTTATTTTTTAAAATTTAATTTTATTAATTATAATTTTACAGTGTTGAGCATAATCTTGTATGTCTTTACAATTTAAAAACTCCTTGAAAAAGTTTTTTTTGCAATAATGGACCCTATCTGCACAAATTCACAAAAGCGGACCCTGGTTGAAAGAATGTGACTTAACGTTTATTTTATATTCACAAATTACGAGTAATTTTTCACAATTTTACGAAAACGGACCCTTCACAAAATGTCTGGACAGACCCCTGTATATATATAAAATTTTTGTATTATTTTTCTACAATGCTGCTATTATTTATTATTTTTTTATTATTTTGTCTAGAATACTGCTAAAAAGAGAACAAGAAGGAAACAAACTCAAAGGTATAAGGTGTCTTCACTATACCAAAATATTTATTTATAAGTATACATATATTTTTTCAAAAGTTTAAACATTTGTTTATTCTATTTAGGCAAAATTTTAGTTCAGATGTTGATTCTGACTCCCAAATTATATCAGATAAGGTAATATATTGTTATAGTAAATATTTGTCACCTAAATGTATCTTAATTTAAATTAATTCGATATTTTTTTTTTCAATCTTATGATTGCTTAACATTTAGTTGTTGAAATAGAAAAATAAGTTCAATATTGTTTGTCTTCAAAACCGAAAGTTTTATTGGTGTTGTATGCAAAATTTCCTTTTGATTGTGTTAAAAGATATTTAAAAGATAAATTTAAATATAAAAAAACTAAAGACCAATTAATATTGTTTTACTATAAATATTTTATTAGCTTGTTTGAATATTTTGATTATGATACTATTTATTTTTTGCCTAGAATTCTAAAAAAAAGATAGAAAAAAAGAAAATTCAAAGGTAAAAGAAATATCCTTCACTATTTAAATAAACAATTCTGTTTGAAATTAATAAAATATTTTTCTTCCTAGACAAAAGATCTTAGATGAAGATTTTGACACAAGAACTTTAGTGAATAAGGTAATAGCAGATGTTCTTGCTTATCTCAGCTATCTATTGCTAAATCAATGTAAATAGGCATTTAAAATGCTTTACGTTTGGCCGTTATTTTTCTATACTTACTTATAATTAACATCATTGTAATTTAGTTGAATTTAATCTGAAATGTTTTTGCATGACTTCAAAACAATATTAAATAAAAAGATTAAAATATTTTGGGGTCTTTTTAACACTATGGTGGATATTTTATATGAGTTTAGTCTATTCCAGTTTGAAGAAACTTTGAAATCACAATATTTTGATATCATGAAAAAATCTGAACTTCTTGTACATTTGTTATTGCAATGATATAAAATTCAATTTTTACCAACTCTCGCTTATTACAAATTTTTTTTGATGAAAAATAATTTTTTTTTCCAAGAAATATTGGTAGAAAATATATTGCATTTAAAATGTTTACTCTGATAAAAATCCTTTGCATTGTGGTATGTTTCTTCATTCTCACAAAATTCAGTTCATTGTTGAACCATAATACGTAGCAATTTTCTGTAACCTTAATAAGAGGTAATAAATAAAACCATGTTGGAACCAAGTTTAAGAAGTAATATGCCATGTTGGAATCAAGTTTAAGAAGTAATATGCCATATGGTTTAACTACGCAACATAATTTTGTTGCAGCAAATGTGAACTTTATTGTGATCAGCAAATAGTAAAATCTATAAGTATCAATAATGTATGTCGTTCCAAATAATAGTTTCAAGTGATTACATTTCTGTTTAGGAATTAAATAAATGCTATTTGACTTTTACAATACTGTCATAATTACTATTTTGTCTAAAAATATTACTACTTGCAACATTATAAAAGTTTTAGTTTCTATCTTCGAGATTTTGATACCAAAATTAGGCTGAATATAAATACAAGAACTAGTTGTTTGTTTTGGTTTTTAAGGATGAGTATATATTAAGTATATTGAGCATTTGCTAATATTCAGCAAATATTCTCATTTTCTGTAAATTTGCATTTGAAAGAAGTTATATTTTATATCTAGCTTTAATTTTTTTTAACTGGCTGTTTAGAAACCAAGAGCTGCTGCTTTGAACGCAAAGAGAAAAAATAAAAGTTTACTAAAGCAAAAAGAGTTGGATGAAAATTCTATACTTTCTTCAACAATCAAAAGAAAGTAAGATTATAAAATAACATTTCTTTGAGTATTAGTTTATGAAATATTATGATTTAAAAGTTAAATTTCTCTTTTGTTTACTTTCTTTGTCAGAATATTATCACAGATCAAAATTTTCATGTAAGAAATTACTGTCCAAACCATCTTGATCAAAATAATTCTGAGACATATATTTTACTTAAAAACACAAAAGCTGGTCTTCAATTAACAAAATAATGAAAATTATCAGTAAAAAAAATGCTCACCCCAATAGAAAAAAAAGCGTCCTCAAATTAAATAATAAAAGTTCTATTTCTTCAAATTTGCTGTAAATTTTTTATTCATAATCAAAATGTTTTACGATACCAGGTTTAACTGTAGTAATGAAATAGTTTCTTTAGTAATTTCAAGTATATATATAATATAAATTGTATTTCTCTTTAATTAAAATTCTACTAAGTTCAGTGTTTTAAATTATGCAAACTGAATATTTTATTTGAATAATTAAGTTAATAAATTTATTGTTTAATAGTTCGTGTGGTTGTGTCTGTATTGAAAACCTATTTCTCTAATGTATATAATGTGATAAAATTAATATGAATATCATGTGCAGATTTTACAAAATTAAAATTACACTGTTAGTTTTAGATATAAAAAAGTACTGTCAATATTTTCTAATAAATTCAAAGTAGTAGTTTTCAATTGATTTTTGAAACTTAATTTAATATAATTTCTTAGTGTAATTCAACTATTCATAAATTTTTTTACAGTTTTGAAAAAAGCTTTAGAAAGATCCTCAGGCTGTTAATGAATGAATTTAGAAAAAAAGTCATTACTTAAAAAAAAATAATATGTAATAATTATGTGTTTTCTATTTGGTTGCATATGTTGATTGTTGAGGACTGTTTGTGATGAGGTTTTTCAGAACAGAATACTAGATATCATTCAAAACTATGTTACACACTTGTAAATAACTTTTTTTACACAACACATCTTTTTTGTTTTTGCTTCTGTTGCAAACATTTTCACAAACATTTCATGATATTTTCAGTTTTTTTTGGAAACTTGTGGTGAATGAAAGTTTTTACTCATTTTTTCATTTCATTGTGTTTTGAGAAATCTGTGATTATTACATTCTGTTGGTTGTCACATTGACTATTACTAGGCATAATATAGTTTTTGTTATTATATTTATGAACATAATTAAAATTTTTGTTTTCCTTCTTTAGGTATGAAAGTGAGGATGATGTTAGTTGTTATTCACCAAAAAAGAAGAAAAACAATGCTTGTTCAATTTTCCAGACTGATACGGAAACTCAGAGTAGCGAAATCAGCTGGTTTAAAGGAGGAAAACGTGGGTTATTTCAAACTCCTCCATTAAAGAATTACACAAGAAAGTATGTGTATGTTATGTAAAATTGTTGGTATCAATCCTTTGACGCTGAATTTTTATTAAATGTATTTCCATGCTTTTTCTTCTTCTTTATTTTGTATTAATTTATGTCAAAGTAAGGGAAAAATATTTTATGTAGCATTTTAATAATTTATGGTTATGAAATACAGCATGAAACACTAGTGTCTTTTTCTGTGTTAAAGGTTAAATCTTCTAAACAGTAATTTTTCAAATTTGCGTTTATTTGCAGTTATTTAGATCCAATAAAAAATAATAGAAACATCATTGAAATTTTTTAATTTGCAAAATCGATTATTGATAAATTTTTGAATATTAATTTTAAAAAAAATTTATACTTTTTTTTATATTTTAGTATAAATATAATTCTGACAATCTAACAGATTTTTTGGTAACTATTAGGCTTTTTTTATAATTAATATATTATTATTAAAGAATGCCAGAAAAAATATAGAAAAGGAGCATCAGTGTCTCATCTGCATCAAAGGGTTAACTTTAATTGGTTTATAATTTAAATGTGTTTTATGTTTTAAGAGTTTTCTAGAAAATTATGATTAACTGATTTAAAATGAAAGAAAGAAATGAAAAGAATAAGATTGCTATTTCACATGAGAAACAATAATAGGAATTTTCGGAATAAAATAAATATTCTTTTTCTATTTAAGGTAATCTGATAAATAAAATACATCTTAGTTTTCAATATATTTTTCCAATAAAGATGCTGAATAAGAAAATATTTAATTAAATGGCATAATGTGAAAGGATATTTGCTAAATTATTATTTAATTTAGTTAATGATCTTTAGTTTAAATGTATTGCATTTAAATAATTCCTCTTGAAAAAAATATATTTGACTTATGGGCTGAATTAGAAAGAATGATTCTGTTTATCATTGCAAGGGGTAAAAAATTGTAAACTTGCACTAAGCATTTCTAATTATTATAGGACTTGAAAAGGAAAGTATAAAATATAATATTTAGATTTATTTTAATATCTAAAATAAAGCTTAACAGAAAATAGTGATCTAATGATAATTATTTTTAAATAAAGATCTTTGGAAATTTGACTAAAGCTTCTTAGAAAAAAAATTTTTTTTTTTGGAAAATAATAATAAAATAGTTATTTTAAACCTTAACCATTTCTTTCATGAAAATTCATAGTAAATAGCGATCTTATCGGTAAGATTACATAACCATTTTATCCACAGTTGTTTCTTCTTTCAAAGATCTAACTTTTTATTGTGACTTAAAGAAAAACTTATCCTTGGGTCAGGAAACCATTCTAATTATTGATTTTTTGTCAGGCCTAAAACTAAATGTAAAGATGGTTATCTTAAAAGCCACAAATTTTAAATATTTAATTGCCTTTCTTTGTATAATGGAAGGTATTTAAGTAAGAGTGTGTTTCAGACCAATTATCCCTCAAAAATATTCTGAAAATATACAGGTTTAATGAGAAATTTTGTCCAGATCCAAATAATAACTAATTAGAACAATTTCTATGTAGTTTATTTATTTTTACATAATCAAAATTACATGTTTCTATAAGCCATGTATCGAATAGTGATTTGGCCAAATACCCAATATTCGACCACCAAGTAGCAATTTTTTTTAGTGAAAATCATTCATAAATATTATTTTCAAATAATTAATTTCAAATGATAAATAATTGGTTCTGGGGATAGAACACTGACCTCCTAATTAAGTGACCCAGGTTCAAATCCCAGCGATCGCTGGCCCATACAAATTCTGCAAGCCGCTTACATCAACCACAGTACTGACCTGTTTTTGCGGTTTTCCTCTTCATGTAAAGCAAAACAGATTAGTTCTATTAAAAAAACCTTCATGAAGGCAAATTTCTCTTTATACTTGATCCAGGAGCTCCCTTGTCTTACAGATTGGGTTCAAAATTACATAAAGGCTGTGGTGTTGAACATAGGTAGTCATAAACTTAAAAAATTTGGTCAGCATTCAATAACTTTCATAAAATAAAATGTATGCAAATAAGTTTAGTCATTGTTGAAAAATAGTGAAAACTTAGCTATATTGTTGATATGGGGTAAAGGGAAAAAAACTAATAGTTATCCATTAGAAGTATTTCAGATAAATAAAAAACTGGCTAAAAGCTATAAATAAAAAACTAAAGTTGTAAAGGTAACGAAAGAGAATAGAAAAAATCCTCTTAATTCTTGAAATCAAACTTTAATGTTAAAAATTATATTTTCTGGAAAAAATACATACATAAAATGTTAAAAAAGATATAGTCTATCAGAAATGCATTTAAAAAAATGCTGTGTCATAATAAAAACACTATTTAAAAGAAAAGTTAATTAAACAGCAAAAGAGAAACAGAAAAAAATTGGTCTTAGTTTTTAAAATATTACTTTAATGTTGAAACTTCTAGTTTTTAAAACATTACTTTAATGTTGAAAATTCTAGTATTCTATCTTACCAGATGTCTGTCTGACCGTACAGGCAAAAAGTTACAGTAAAGGAATAAAGTCTAATAAAAAGCTCTGTTTAAATGCTGCACTGTTGTAAGAACAAAGAAAATAAAACATTCTCCATTCTTAAAACAAGAAGTGTTCAATAAAGGATGAAATTGACTTGGCTAAATATATTTAAAAAAAAATCCTCTGTAAAATTTGTGATCTTGCTTTTCCACATTTCACTTTGTATTTCCATTTGTCCTCCAGAACATATATTTGCAGGTTTCAGAATTTAACAAATATGTGTAAAAACGATTTCTAATAATGTAAAGTAAAAAATGCGATTTTAGAGTAATCTTTATTAAATCTTTTCAAATTAAAAGAAAAAAAAATAATGAAAAATATTTTTTAAAAAATTCCTTGCCTAATATTTGTTTCAAAATTCTGCCAACCGAATATTTCGCAAAACGTTCAAATAAAGAATAGTGGCCGAATATTCATTACATCCCTAATTTCTATTTACCGTATGTCTAACATGATTTAAAATTTACTTTTAAAAAAATACATATCAAAATTATACCTAAAATTTTAATATAGTCACATTAATAATAATTTGTAAACTATATTACAGGAATTATAAAAGCAGGACTTCTCTGGTAAGTCATTCATTTATTTAATTAAATGCTTTATTTATATTTTCTTTCTATGTTATTTTGAGTACTGCAGTGTTTTACTTGGTCTAAATTCAATGTAAGTTAATTTTTTACTTATTAGTATATCAGAAATTGAATTTTTAATAAATATGAAGAATAGAGCTTTTTAGGATCAATTTAAATAAAAGATCTTTGAAATTTTTTTTTCCTTCTCTTGAAATCGAATTTGTCTCCTTTAATTTTAAATTGAAAATAAGGACAAATTATGAAGTCAAATTATCAGTTTAATTTAAACATGTTGAGATAAATTTAATTCAAAATTTTAAACTTAAAATAATATGTATACATAAGCAATTTTAAACCAATTGTACAAAAGTTTGAAAGAGTACAAGCAAGTAGTATCAAAAACAAATAAGCATGACAAAAATAGACTAATAAAATTTAAATTGAACTTATATTTTGTTGCAATTTTCAAAATAAATAAAAATCATTAAATTTAAATCATTCCTTTTTAGATTTATTTAAAAGTCAAATTGATAATAAAGGCCATACAGTTTCTATGAGAGATTTTAAAGTTTAAAATTAATATAAGATATTTTAACTTAAAGATTTAGTCATTATAATTATTGAAAAAAATACCTTTTTTTTCCAAATATAAGTATTATCTTTTGTGTTTTGTAGTATTTCAAATTTAGTGTTATGTTCGCCCATTCTTGTTTTACAGAAAAAGTGGAAACAACAAGGAGCAATTCAAAAGAAAAGGGAATTTCAGAAGAAAACTAAATTTTTTGATGACAAAAGTTCAGAATCTGGTACAAAATCAAAGAGTATGGGACTTTCTGATATAGACAAATTTAGTTTAGTTGTAGAAAAAGAAAGTCCTAAAAAAATGGCTCATGTTAGGAAATCCACAAATTTTCATTTTGAATTACTGAATTCAGTTAATGAAAAAATACTTGATGCAACATCTGATGAAAATTTAAATCATAATTTTACTGATAATGACATTATTGGTGGACATTCCAATCCGAGGGTTTTGGACAAACTTAGTTTGCCTAAACAAGCAAAAAAAAATATTAGCAAAGATAATCAGAGTTTCAAAATAAAACCCGTTAAACAAAAGGAAAAGTTTCTGCATTGTAACTATTTAAAAATAAGTGATGAAAAATCAAAGCTTAAAACTGTGAGAAAATTCGATACATATGTTAAAGATGGCTTGTGTACCTCTCTTAAAGCTTTCGACAAAACTCATGATGATTTGTGTTCTACAATCCAAAATTCCAAATTTGGGCTCATAAATCAGAATAATTACAGTAAATCTGAAGGAGATCAAATGGACATTAATATTGAGCATCCAGAAACTTTGTTTGACGGTAGTGAATCAAGAAATGAATTTACTGCTACTTTGAATATTCAGGAGGAGAAGTGTGATTTATCTAAACCTAGTTCTCTACCTGATATTCATGAGACTGACGAGAATGTTTGTAGAACTTTGTCAATAGAGAGTTGTAAGTAAATTTAAATATTTACCTTTTTTTAATTGTTGTTGAACCTGTATAAAATGAACACATGCAGAATTGTGGCAATTATCCATTCTAATTATAGCAACTAATATAATGTTGTTCTTGCTAATTGCTAATTGTTCTTGCTAATTTGAAAACTGTCTTTAATGTTAAGATCTTAAAAATGTTACCTTTGTAGAAGATAAAATTAGCAAAAATATACTGGGAAACAACTGAAAAAAATTAATTATATATAATTTTTTATAAGCAACGTTTGTTTATTCTAGGCAATTGTCAAGGTTTTAGATTCCCATTGTAAAATTTTAGTAGTTAACTATTAGCAAAATAATTATAGAAATTGAACATATATGTTGATACTTAATGTTCCTTATGTTGTTTGGCATGATCTTGAAAAATATTCTTCAAAAAGAACTTTGCTTTGTCTTTTTCTTTTGAAGTTGTTATTTTAAAATCGTCAGTCAGAGAAATGGCTGATTCATCCAATTTTTTAAAAGTGAAGCAGGCTGTCGCTTGTGTCTAAAAAGTTGATTAAAATTATTAATTTTAAGAAAAGGTGTGGCGACTATTTTTGCCAAAATCTAGGCCAAAACAACCTTTTTAAAAATTGGCCAAATATTTTTTTTTTTCGAAAAAAAAATTCACTATTTTTTCTTCATTTGTTTCACATTCTTTAGAAAGCTTTCTTTAAAAAATTTACTTATATACGTTAATACATTAGTTAAGAGCTTTTTGCCAACAGCATACATAATAAAATTAACTTTTCATCATTGCATAAGCAATTAATATGAATGCAGAGCTTCATTAAAAAGAGCTAACGCTCTAGCACAAAATGCTGTTTAAGAGGCCCCAATATTTTCCCTGACTAAAAAAATTTGTATTGCATTTATTTTAATGAAAATCACAACTGTCAGCAAATCACACCATTCTCTTCCCAATGATGTAACCCAGCGTTTGGTTCATAGGAATTCTGCTTCCAGCTCCCAATGAGTAAAATGTTGATGTAAAATATCCTCAATGGTAGATCCTGGGTTAAAATCCCTTTGCCGTCGTTCCACCATGGGAGATTTTTGTGGTTTTCCTCTCCATTTTACACTAACGGGGATCAGTTCCATCAAAAAGTGCTCCAAGCCCAACGCTTGATCCAAGACTTCGCTTGTCTTCTGGGTTACACTCAAAATTACAAGGCTACTGAGTTGAACATTGATTGTCATAAAAACTTTGAATTGGGTGTTCTGTCCAATACTGGCTATAAAATAAAATTAAGTAGAACCATCATGCTTTTTTTTTCTCCTTCTGCTGTCTTCTTTCTTTTGGAAATAAAGAGATTATAAATGATTGATGTAATTATATGTTTTTCTTTAATTATGTTTTTTTTTATTTTGCAATTACAAACAAATTTTAGTTTATTTAATTGACACAATGTTGTTTTTAATTGACGCAGTAAATGCTTTGTCAATTAGCATGAATTATTAGGGGATAATATATATGTGATAATGTTTTAAGTAATATTTGAAGTTTATAGCATATTTGTTTTTTTTNTTTTTTTTTTTTTTTTTTTTTTTTTTTTTTTTTTTTTTTTTTTTGGTAAGACAATATAATCCACGGTTAAAAATATTGCAAACTTGCCAAATCTGTTTATTTCTGACAGTTTAAAATAACTCTTCATATTTAATTATTTCGTTTAATTTGTAGTGAACTCCTTAGAAGAATTACGAAATGAAGAAAGTGGCAAGAAGTTACACATGAAACTGTTTTTAGAGGTATGAACACATTTGTTTGTACTTAGAAATTTGAGTGCACTATTTATTACTTTCTTTTATGAATTTTTTTTCTTTCAGAGTTTGTCCAGCGAGTCACCTCCGCCTCCAAGTGATATGGGAGATTTTTGTATGTAACTCATTAAGATTATAATAATTGATTCATTATTAACTTTCATATCTTTTTACCATAACCAGTTTATTTGTGATATAATATTTTGTATTACATAATTATTTGTTAATATTTTTGATTGCAGGTGCAAGAGTGGTCTCTAAAAGATCTTCATCACAGTGCTCTTTTTCTGTAAATGAAATTCCTTGTAAAAATATAAAAACTGATAAAAATCAAAATGGTAAATTATTAAAAATTTATTTCAACCAATTCAAAATTCAAGTTCTTCTAAAATCAGTAAATATATCGAATTTGATAAAACTCAGTGTATTTAATAAATAGAAATTGCTGAAAGGGTTTGAAATTGTTGATTCATCTTATTTTTTGATTGCATTTATTATTTTTTTATTCATTGATTATTTTTTTTATTGAAGATTGTATTAAAAATTTCATATTTATAGTAAATATTTAGGGAAAAAAATTGCATTAATTTTAATAGGATATTATATTTTATTATAACACGGTGGCGAATAACTGGGAAAAGTTGGAGAATTTTTTGGTTCTGGAAAAGTCAGGGAATTCATTCACTGATCAGGAAATTTTTTTAAATGCTCTGTTCCTCTTGTAGATTGTCCACCTACTGTTACTTCCAATCCACTGACTGACTTTGGTATTGGGGGAACGGAGAAAACTCCTCTTTCAATCATCTATACTAGCATAGGCAGTATTTTTCTCTTTTTCAATACCAAGAATCTGATAATTTCTGCACTGAGGAGATTTTTACGTTTATGGAAAAATTAAAAATTCAGCTTCTTGAAGGATCTGTCTTTCTTATCTACAACAACGTTTCTAAAGAAAACCAAGGTTTAAAAAAAAGGGTAGAAAAAGCTAATTTTTATCTTTATGATTATGTTAAAGATTTTCGTTCATTGTGCTCATGATCTTTGCTGGTTAATTTCATTTTTGCTGGTTAGTTTCAATTTTGTATTTAGATTTTGTTTTTGCACAGCATGAATGATTTGTAGAATTTTAAATTCATTCCTTGTGTCAACTTTATTATCCTGAATGCTTTTCTATTCATTATTTTATTGAAATAGGTAATTAATCTTTTTTTATTGTTTTCGTTTTAATTTTAAACCAGTAATTTTTATCAGTATTTCATAAAATTTAATTATTCGATTCATTATTATTCACTTTGAAATACGAATGGCATATCAAGATTCATACTGTAGCGATTCACGATATGGATATTGAGATTTACAATTGATGTTTTTGTGATTTACATATCATAATTTCACATATGTGAATCACATTCATTTGTGGTTGAGCCATTTTCTTAAATAGAGTCAAATTGCTCCCTAAATTTTGGTACAAAAGTTTTGAAAAAATTATCCTAGCTGTTTCTTACTCGTTTCTGTTACCCATTAGCGGTTTCTTATCCTATTCTGTTTCCCGTTTCTTCTGATCTACAAGAAATTTTCTTGAAAATCTGTGACACAGCAGCATTTTTTTTTATTTTGGTCTATTTTTCTTGGAATTAGTCTTATGGACTATTAGTAGTTTTTTAGTTTTTAATGTAATATTTTTTTTTTATAATAGTAAATTTTATGTGTACACATAAATATGTTGGGCAAGCTTTGACAGGAAAAAGTCAGGGAAGTTTGAAATATAGAATCACTAAAAAGTAAAATAGTTTTATATATATTTATCTTTTGCACCACTTTTTTTAAAGCTATATTAAGTAACCAAATGAATTCTTTTTCTAAACTATATATGTTTTCCCCCCATTAATTTAGCACATATTGTTATATGGTAACTGATCTAATTGCTATTTATTCTAGATCAAAGTGACCTACAGTTTAGCCCTAAGAAAATGGAAAAGAAGGTTAAACGAAAATTGAATGTACACATTGGTTCTATTGTTAAGGTAAAAATAAAAACTTTACTTTTCAGTGTAGACATAGTTTATGTACACAAATGCATTAAAATAAACATTGGAAACTTTCCAATTTGAAATATAAAGTTGATTATCTCGTAAATTCAGTATCGACTCTGTTTCTAAAAACGCATCAGTCACAATCAACTTTTGAAACTGACAGAAACGATAGTCAATGGAGATGAATCAGGCTTAGTCCAACGTGGGCTCTCTTACTGAAGAAACGGTTTCTGGCTCAAGTTGGCTAGGATACACTCTTAATTACATTTTCGGAAACGTTTTTACTACTTTACTAAGACATAATACATAATCCAGTTGGTAAAGCTGAGCAAAATAAAAATAAATTCTTAAACCTAACGATTTACTAAAAGGTATTTTATTGAGAATCTTTTAGACAATAAAAAATTTTAGTATTTTCTGTTGTTGGTAATTACTCTTAGACAATTCTTTTACTTCCAATCATAGATTTTTCTATTGACTTTTTGATTAATATGTTAATGATAAAAAGTTTTAATGACTAATTTTCTTGTTTAGATATCAATGGCTGAGTAGAGAGATCGCAAAATTTGCCCTTTGTCGGACATATATCTCCGACTCTAAGTAATCCTATGTATCTTAGGCTCTAACTAATAAGATGTGTCTCAGGCTCAGCCCTCCCGGAAGTGAGCTGGAACTTATCTCTAATAAGCATGCAAAAGCCCCTTCTAATTATCAAATTGTTAATTGAAGATAAATGCAGAGTTCGGTTTTAACATAAGTGTTAAATTTGTTTTGGAATTCTGTCCTTTAGCTGTACAAAATCATCATTAACTATTGTTTTTGTTTATTCACTGTGATATCCATTTTTGTCAAGTTTATCCAACATTTTTGATTGACATTAAAGAAGAGATGAGTTGATACTACTGGCACAAAGTGATTTTATTGTATTTTTCTTAAATATTTTTCCTTTTATTTCAAGATGCATGTTTGTTGTTTCAAATTTTTCAAGATGCATGGAATCTTTGTTTCACACTTTTTCGGAAATTCAATCATTATTGAAAAAGAAAAAAAACTCATTCAACAATTTTAAATTATCAAGTTTTCATGGTGTTGAATTAAGAGGTCATACGCTTATTTATTATTTTCAGCAAATATTATCACAAATTTTGTAGATTTGAATTTTTTAATTTCACATAAATTATGTTTTTTATCAGATATTTGAAATGATGAATTCCAATAAAAAATGCAATGAATATACGAGAGAATTTTTAAATAATGAATTGAAGTATAATCCACCAAGTTACTTTTGCAGGAAAAACAGCATATTTGCTGTTTTTGCTTCAATATTATTGAAACCCCAATTTAAAATTAATTAATTACGGAATTCTTTAACTCTATTACAAATTTTAATTAGTTGTTGTTAATATTAGCTAATTGGTACTGGGGATTTTTTTTAAACACAGCATGCTTTTATTATATTTAAGTAGAGCAAATGATACTTTTTCAAGATTTTAGTTTATTTTTTGCTTTTCCTAAAAGTAGCATGGTTGTCTTAAAAGTAGCATGCTTTTTCTTAGGTTTGAATCCAGATTGAATGTCTAATTCTGTCTCACTTTAAAAGTGAACCAAGAAATTGTATGAAGCACAAAAATATTACTTATAAAAACTGAGGTTTGTGCATTAAAAGCGAACTATGCTGCAATAGACTTAACACTGTACCAACCGAGTACAATATCCAAGTACAACAATTTTATTGTTAAATTAGGCTCTCATTAAATCTGAGCTTGTTATAAGCTGGTTCGATAGTACTGCATTCTTAAACTTTTACAATTTATATTTATTTGTGAGCAATATTTAATTAAACCAGTGTTGCAAAAATCCCTCTGTTTAATATAACTGGTTTGATAATTTGTTTAATATAATTAAGTTGTATCGATTTACATGTTGAATATTTACATTACTTTTGAAATTTATTCTTACTGATCTCATGATGACTTAAAATGTTATGGTTTCACATGTTGTCTGTTGAAATATTTTATTCAGGATGACAGTTAGTAGCTCGTATTAACTATTTAGCTTATTCCACTTAAGGTCAATTCTCATAAACTAATCAAAGCATCTTTGAAAAATCATCACAAGTTGAACAAAGATAATTTTTTAACTATTTGTTTACTGAAATCTTTCCTATGCGTGTTTACTGAATTTGTTTACTGAAATCTTTCCAATATGTTGCGGGACTATCATTTTAAAAAATTACCATTTGATTTCAGAACCGGAAATCTGAGAAAATTTTTATACATTCTGAAAAGAAATCCCCAAGCTCTCCAAACAAGCAATTTAAGGATAAAAAACAAAACAAAGCTGATTTAAGGTAATCCTTTTTTCTAGGTGCTTAAGTTATTTGTGTTTCCATGTATTTTAAGATTTCAGATAATTTAAATTAAAAATGAAATTCTTAAAGTATTTTATAATAGAATAATCAATCTCAATAACAAGAGTAAAAAACAATTAAGTCTTTTTCTAGTTTTGTTAAAGTTTTATTCAGGGTGTATTCAGAAATGAATTTCATAAATAATAGAAACTAAATTTTCTTGTTCTATACTTTAATTTATTATAGCGCTACTTTATCGGTTATTGCTTTTTTTACACAATACATATTTTTGTCAATTTAGATTATGGAAGATTCTTGTGCTCTCTTTTGAGTTTTGAATTAAAAAGACAAAATCTTTGATAAAATTAACAAATAAGCTCATGGCTTTTTTTCTTAATTTGTAAAATTTATGTTTTTCCTTTTAGGATTCATCAAAATATCATTAAAAATGTTTCAAAAATGAAGCAAATGTCATCAAAAGAAAAATTGAATATGGAAAAAAATTTGGTAAATCCTTAATGTTTATTCATATTCTAGGTTAAAACTGAAAATATAATCAATGTTTAAAAGCTACTTAAAAATATTTTTTAAAAATTGAAGGGCTTAAGTGATATTAAAATGTTTAACTGTGCATAATTTTCAAAAGCTTCAAATTTTTTTTTCTTTGTGAATTTATGTGCGAGTTCGAGAAATTTTAAAAATAAAATAATTTAAAATTCCATCCAAATACATGATGAAAAGAAACTTAGTTTAACAACAGTTTAGACAGGTTTTGAACATAAGATAAAGTAATATAACTAAATTTAAATTCATTTTCAGTAAATAAATAAATGCTGTAAACTATTTTGATTATTTAGGTTTGTAGACTCTGTATTTCATTCATTGAAGAATGTATGAGAAAGAAAAATAAGAAACAAAACATCAATATTTTATGACAGTCGGCACATTAATTGTTCTGATATTATTATTAATTTCAGCATGATTGAAATTTAATTTTTAGTAAGTTAAAATTGAGACAAGGGTTTCAATTAAAATTAATCAATGTGTTTTACAAATGAAAAGTAATTTATATTTAAAAAAATAAAAACTTCCTGCTAATTATATATGAATTTTTTTTTCTGTTACAGAGATTTTTTATTTTTACCTAACTCAACAATAAGTTCATTGGGAAACATTTTATAATATTTACACTATAAGCTTATATATGTCTATTTTTAACAATTGGAATGAATTCAGCCATTAGTAAATTTAATGATGGCTGAACGCAGATGTTTTCACTCATTGACTCAACAAGTTCAATTTTCAACTGGAGGCAAACCATGAAAAAATTTTGGTATTTTTCTTCAAGTGATGCAAATACTGTATAGTTTTAAAGTAAAAGTTTTCATGAAGGCAATTTATGTCCAATACTGGATGCAACATTTTCTTTTTCTTCCAGTTGGGTTCAGAATTGCTGGTTATATAGAGATCAAATCACAACATGGAGAATGATAAGCTAGGCTTGTAATAAAATAAAATTTCCATCTGAATAGGAAAAATTTAAGAGCTTGTTGTTATGCAGATCACATTGCGTGTAAATTACATTTATAATTGGATTATTTAAAATAAACCCCCGATAGATAAAACATTTCTCATTCAATGTATTGTCATTTTATAAAAACCAAACCGAGGCTGCATTAATAAATTTTATTAAAAATTTCTATAATGGCAAAGAAATAAACTATATAGCTCAGTTTTAAGCAGATGGTGATAGAAATTTTTTTCGAGTTTCGGATATGCGTATTACGCAATATAGCTCTACCATTGTATGCCCTAAGAATAGTACCATTGTATGCCAGTAAGAATAAACAATCAATATGTGCTTCTATATTTATTAACAAAACGCAACAATGAAAAATTAACAATTAGACTGAAAACAAAAACAACAAAATATGAGAAATAAAAAACAACAGGAGCTTTCAGGAGGTGCTCCCTCCGGCGTGAGTGTATCGAGAACAACTAAACAAAAAATATTTAGATTGGCGACGGATTGACTCTGCCGAAATGAATTAATTCCTAACAGATGTCTTCTTAGCAATGTCTCATGTTAAACATTCATCCCACATTTCTTTTATATATATATAAATATATATTTTAAATATAGTTTGAAACATGTAGAAAAATGAAAAAATAAAAGCATTTTGTTTCAGTTTCCCTAAAAAAATTCACTTTTGACTGACTGACTTTAAAATATTTGTAAGGCAGGAAATTATATAATTTTTTTATGTTTTCATGTAATAATAGGTTTAATACCCATTTGGGTAACAAAACAAGAAGTAGCTAAGTAATAATAAAATTTATGTTGGGTTCTCAGACTCTGCAAAATTTTAAGATCTGGTATGTCTCTAATATTTATATTTCTTTTTAAAGTCATATTCAGTGTTAACTAAACTCGCCTCCGAAGTAAATCTTCTAACAAAAAGACTTTTTGGAACATTACAGAAATGTACTTCTAATTTTTGGTAAGATATTAAGCTTTTTCTTATTTATTAAATAATTCTCTATCTGTTAGTTTTTCTGAAAAAATATTCTCTCTAAGTTTTAACTCTCGCAGAAAGGGATCAAAATTGTGAGAAAAATGTATTATATCATAATTAGATAACCATTTGATTTGTTTTTTGATCTTTTTTTTATTTCTATAGAAGTTGAGTAACTTTTATCGTATTCATTGTAAATTTATGTAAAAAAATCTTAATTTTCAGCCCTAAGATGAGTAAAACGTTAGAAATTTCTTTTTTATACCTTAAAGAAGAAGTTTTTTTGCTCCAAGTTTTTCTTTTATTTTCTTGTTTTTTTGCATAAACATTTTCAAATGGAGTCGTGTAAATGTATTTTTCTATTAGGATTTCTAAATATTGGAACATTTTTTAAATTATCATTTAAGTTCTATAATGTGCAAATTTTTCATAAAATTATTGTTCTTCTTGACTACATATCTTATAAGATATTGAATATTAAGTATTTTATTGTGCATTTCAAAAAAAATTTGCTCTTACATGATTGAGTCATCCAAATGTAACATTAGCTACATATTTAAGTTAAACAAGTTATATTGTATTTTTTTCAGTTTCCATACATCATACTCTTTTTTTTTAATGCACTCGTTTCTCTGTATTATCTATCAATTAATAATTGTAGGCTTAGGAGATCACAGGAAAACAAATAACTCAGCCACATAAGTATTCATTTAGACCATGGATTCCCAAAATGGTCTGTATCAGCCCCCAGGGGTCGATGACAACCTGCAAGGGGCCCATGTCAAGTGAAAAAAATTGGGGGTCCATGAAATTAAAATGGGGGTCAACGATAGTGGATCTCATGTAAGCAGATCGGGACTTTTAATTGCGGCATTTCATGATTAAAATAATCAACATACACTGATAGTACCTATTTACTTACATTATGCTACCTTATAATATAAAGACATATATCTTTCTACATTCTACATAATTTATAAAAGTAGCTATGAAGTGAAAAAAAATTTTCAAATTTAAGTTATTAGGATTATTTTTTGATATATGAAACTGAATTATTATAAACTAGCAGTTGCCTGCAGCTCCGCCTGCGTGCGTTTTCTCTGCGTGTAAGGTTTTATTTTGTAACAAAAAAGTATTTTTACGCTGTAAATTGTAGCCTAGCCTGTGTCAACTCTTTAGTTAGCTAGACCTCCAATTTTATCTGCGCACAAGATCACGGAGATTTGTTGCCTAGTTTTTGCGTGAAAACTTAATAAACAAACCGACAATACACTACTACGGTTTTGTATACAAACTTATTTCCGCAATTGTAATATTAGTAGCAGAGTACGGATTTTATAGTGCACTATTTTATTTCATCTACATATTAATTAAATTAAATTAGTTTGAATTTAATTAATAAATGTATAAAATTAACATGTGTTTTTTTCCTTAAGTTTTTCACACTACACTACACTGCAGTTAGAAATTTAAATCTTTCAGAGTGAGTAGCACTATACCAGCTGTCAAAAATACATTTGAAGTTGATGAATTTACAAAAAATTAATATCAGGTAAGCAGGGGGTCTACCAAAAAACATGATAAGGAGTCTACGAGACAAAGTTCTGGAACCACTGATTTAGACAATAGAAGCAATAAACTGATAAACACATATACTATGATCGGTTACTATGCCTCAACAACTAGCAAGGACGGAACAGTTGTAACAAGTTTGGTTAGCACGATATTATAACAAACGTTTTTAGTATCCAAATTTGTTCCACGCTCTAACAGTTTTATGGACAGTACTCAATGAACTAGACAATACATATCACAGCTGATATATAGACGCACACATTCAGCTTAGTGACAGATCATCACGTAAAGTAGCATAGAAGTAAGGTCACGGCTTACATAGAGGTGATGTGGCAGCAGGTGACTTCAATAAGCCAACAAGTGTACTAGTGTGTGACTAAGTAAGTAGTGAATGGGTATCGACCTTTCGTCCATATTTATTCAAGGAACCTTTTGACATAAATTTGATGCCAACAGTTAATTGCTTAACATTAACTAATAAAATACTAAAAAAAACCTACTACAGTCAAACCTCGATATCTCGAACTTGAAGGGAGAGCAGAAAAAATTCGAGATATCGAAAATTCGAATTATCAAAAATCGCATGTTATCGATGGTAGAATAAAGAAAAATGCTCTTCACATACCTTATTTACTATTCCATATTTAATCTAAAAACAGTTTTTACACTTTCATTTAAAAAAAGACTCAATTCTTGTTTGCTTTAGAGATGTGTAAGAAAGTTGGTCTGTAACACTTTCTAAGTGGACTATAGCTTTAAATGTCTCCTCTGACATATTCGGCTGCCTCTCAATAAATCTCCATACAGTGTCCACTGCTGAAAGTGCTTGTTTGTTAGTAACATTGGGCGGTAAATCTTCGATTTCCTCATCCTCTTCTTTTGATAGTTCACAAGAAGCTTTCGTTTGAGCGATGATATCATTGTCATCCTACTGACCGCCTGTTACTGCATCATCTACGTTTACAAACTCATGAAATTCCATGTCATCAAGCTTCATGAGTCAGTAAATCTGTTCCAATCAATTTCGGTGTAGTTTTCAGCAGAATTAATGATATTGATTGTTTGACTTTTTTTTGTGTTCTTTAATGAATCCAGACTTCTTGTAGTCATTCATTATCGTAGAGGAAGACACATGATTCCATGCCTTGTCATCTATTCTTAAATTTTTTTTATTTTTTTTGGAATATTTTTTTAATTTTAGAAAAAAATTACACTATTTATGGAAAAAAATTGATGTTATCGAGGGATTAGCAAAAGAAATTCATGAGATCAAGTTTTTTTTAACATTGAGTGTATAGAAAATTTGAAGTGAAATTTTTTTTCTTCGAGATTCGTGAATCGAATTCGTGAAATCGAGGTTCGTGAAATCGAGGTTCGAGTGTATATTCAAATATCCTTCTCACTATTGTTATTGTAGAAAGATATATGCTAATTCCCTACTACTGACTCATATCGTGACCACACCGCCCTCCAATGATCTTAGAGAAATTACAGGAGAAGATATATGCAACTTTTAATTTAAGCAAAAAGACCCAACTTCAGATGCGTAACAAATATTGGTCGTTGATTTCGAAATCCCTGATTAATAGAATGTCACATGATGTACCTATTTTATTTTAATTCTTTGAAAGGAAAAGCAATTATTTTATGTAAAAAAATAAAATATTGCAAAATAAAAAAATTATGCCGATCAAAACCTACTTCCCTACTATGCAATAATCAAGTTAAATCAATTATTTTATCTTATTATTGCAGCTGTAATAAAGTTATAAGTTTTAAATCATAGTTATTGTGTTATGCAAATTATATTATAATTTTAAAATTCTCCACATGAAATGAAAAACCAAACTTACCTGCAAAATTTTTATAATAATATTTTATTCATTAACTGGGTGCAAAAATTGTATTGCCGGACATGCTTGGAGGATGTGAAAATTCTGATTGGGCATGATTTTTTAATTTTTCTTGCCCTACAGGGCATGTAAGTCTTCTCTAAGTCTAATTAACTGTAAATATTCCATAAAAATACTGCAAAATGCAAATTCTGCACTTCTGAAATTTTTACAAAAATTAAAACTATGACAGATGGGGCAAAAGGAAGTGGTTATATTTAAGACCTAAATATTATTCAATATAACTACATAAACAAGATTTCTATCTTGACTTGTAAGACTCATAATGTAAACTATTTTTTTCCTAGCATTGGATGATGAATCAATATAGATATAAAATCCCAAGAAATGTTACCTTCATAAAATTTAATAAACACTAATGTTACGAATTTTATACAATGATATTTATGTAAATTATGCTGAATTTTTATGTTACAGACAAACATGGTAGAAAATCACTCCTTTACATGGATTACTAAAATAGAAGATAGTCTTTATTTGCATAAAGAGTTGTAAAGTAATAAACAAGCAGAACTTTAATATTCTTTAATTTTTTTTTATATAAATATATTAGCATATTTAAATATATATTAGCATATATATTGCTTTATAAAGCATTTAATAGAGTGCTTGAACTCTTAGGATAAATGACATATTACAAATTTACTTTTATGTAATTTGCTCTATTTTGTTAAATGTTTTGTATATTCCATTTATTGCTAACATTATTAAAATACCTTAATCAATGTAAACTTGATTTGTGCTGATTAATTAGATTAAATTGGTTAATTACATTCTTATTCTATTTCATTCTAATTATTTCTTTTTTAGTAATGAACTGAACATTCTTCGATCTAACTTCTTGATCAAAATTGAAGATATGATTTCTCATAATACAAATCTCAGTGAAAAAGATTTGAAAAAACTGGCTTTGAATTGTAAAGAAAGTAGACTTCAAATACAAACAAGGTACTTCATTTTGATTGATCTTTTGAAATAATTTTGATTAATAAGTTTCTTTCATACATTAGTTTTAGTTCTTCATTAAATTCACCAATAACTCTTAGTTATTGTTTACAATTATTGTTTAAGAATTATTGTTTAATGTATTAATCCATTAAAGTTAAAATTAAGGTAGTAAATATTATTTATTGTTGGTTTTTAGGGAGATAAACATTCAGTGAAAGAAACTATAAACTGTATATATTAGTAGGACACTGAGATAAGCAGCTGTAAAATTATTCTGCCTAAAATATTTTTATAATATTAATTACTAATCAAATTTCTTAATATTTTGATACTTTAAATAAAGTTAATGAAAACATGTTATCAAAATACATATTTTTACTGTAAGTGCACAAAAAAATTATAATTAAAAATCTCAAGAGAAAAAAATCTCTAAAACATGAAATATTAAAATGTTTTGACACAAGGAATATCTCACTTTTTTAATATTGCTCTTTTTACCGCAAGATTTTTTATTTGAAATTATTATCTACTTTTAAATATGCTTACAATAAAAAGGTGTATTTTAAAAAGACTTTTCTATTCATTTTATTTCTAATTTTTAATCTTCCATATTATTTAAATATTTAGGCTACCATCTATACTGAAATGTGTTCTAAAAATTTATGTTAGCTTAATTTTAGTTTTAAAAATTCATATCAGCTCGGAAGTTGTTGAAAAATTGGTCGGCAAATTCTATATTTAGTTTGGCCTAACCAAGTGATGTTCATGCAAAGACTGTGAGTTAGTCTTGTAACAATTAAGATTGGTTAATAATAACTAGAGAATAGTTTATTATATTTTATAAAGTCTGAGATTAATAACTCTGACATTATAAAATACTTTTAATCTACCATTATAAAATACTTTTTAAGGATAATATTTAAAACCTAGTTTTTAATTAAAAATTGAATGTACTTTTTTCTTAAGCTTTGAACAAATAACGGAAATTGGGAGAATCTATTTTGAGGCTGAACAAATGAAGGAAAAAAAGCTGAAAAACGTTCATGTAAGAATTCCTTTTTAAAGACTAACTTGTTTATTTATTTTTGATTCATATCTGATATTATATTTTTTAATAGAGAAAGATTACTGTGAAGTATTGCTGTCATCTGCGTGCTGCTGTTGAAGTAGCTGTGAAAAGCATTGTGAGTTTATTTTAATTGGTTTAGTTAAAACTTAGAAATACTTTTAAGTCATTAGAAACTATTTCTAAATATTGGTTATAATAAAAATGTCCATTTTTCATTCAGGAAGAGAGAATTGTTGGTAGAGCTGGAGCAATGTTCAAGAAATTTTTACAAGGAATTTAAATGAGTTTGAATTTGCGGCTCATTTTAAAACAGTTAGCATTTTCCTGCCATATTTTAATTGTAAATATGTCTGCTTTACCATATTTATCAAAGATATCAGCTCTCTTCTTTTTTTTAACTCTTTGCTTTTGTTTATATTTGTTAAATCTTTTTTTCATTTTAAATATATAGTTAATTTCTACTATATTATATACATAACCTGTTTGTGTGCTATTTTAAAATTATAATTTTTGGTGATTGATATCATTACTTTTTTCTAGTCATTTGAATTTTTATGTTAATTTTATTTAAAAGGCAATATGTATTTAAAACTGGATGTTTCAATTTTGTTAAGATTTTTGTTTTATTGAAAAAATAAAAGAAAAGTAAACAAGTGTTTATTTTGATATTTATCTTTTTGCTATGTTCATTATTTAGATAAGTATGATGCAAGTGATTTAATTTTTTTAAAGTATTTTAACTATTTTGAACTAATATTAAGGCGCAATAATGAAAAATTTAGTTTTTATTAGAAAGTTTATTTAAATTTGAAACTGTGTTTCCATAATAATAGAATATTTGTTTAATTTATAACTATTTTGTATGGATGTAAGACCTTTTAACATCAGTCAAGTTTGATTGATGCTAATAAAGCAAGAATGTAAAAATCTTACTATTTTTGTATCATATCTTCATTATAATTGATAAAATTTATTGAAATGATATTTTAAAAAAATGTCAGTTTAAAACAACTTTTTTTAATGACTCTAATTGAAAGAATTTTAGATATTTTATTATGAAGTGTAGTTTTTCTATAAAATTTCGTAACATTCAACTCCAATAACTGACTTCAATATTTTTTTAAACTTACATTTTTAATTTTTTATGTTTGTTGTCAAATTTAAAGCAAAAATAAAAAATCAATAATTGTCTATACAAAAATATTTGGCCAGAATAATTTTTATTCATAACTAAACAAAATTACTTTTTAATACAATATTTCATAATAAAAAAATATGGCTTTTACAATAATACATGTTTGATTGAATTTGCATACTTGAACATCTCATTATATATTCAAAACAAATATTGAATTGCTGCTTAAAATCTTGCATGTAAAAACAGTTTTATATGCTTAGCGAATTATCATAAGTTTTGAAAATAGTCTTGATTTAATATTCCTAGATAAATAATAAACTCAAAAATGAATCAAATTACTATTTCATTACATTTACACAAAAATTCAAAATATTTTAGTTCTGTTAAATATATAGAATATATAACCTTGCAATTAATATAAAGGCAGTACAACAGCCGGATTAATTTCATGCTACCTAATAAGTATTTGTACATTATTTATTCAAAAATTTCCTTACTTATATAAAATCTGTATAATATTATACAATGGACGGAATGTTTTGATTAGAGCTACTTTTATTCATCACTATAGCACATATGAGTATTACGCACACTATAGCACATATGATAATGTGTTATCACATATAATTCATAAACTAATCTAAACCACATATTCTGTACAAAAAGATGAAAGCTTGCTGATTAATGAAAGTTTAAAAAAGAAAGTAGCTTAAATTATAAACCATATTATTTACAAATTGATCGTTTTTTCTTTCAAAAGTTTTCGGGAAAAAAAAGAGATAGAAATGCCAACTTTATTCTTATTTGACAGTTTTTTTTAATTAACTTTTCTGTTTATACTCGTATAAAATCAATAATAACCAAAAGCACTGATTCGTTGTGGTAGCCAATTGCATATTGATCAATTATTTTTATAGGTTGATTATCTTGATAGTTTACATAAATTAAAAATTGTGGAGCAAAAACACTATCAAGGATTGAACTTCAACATAAAAAACAGAAGAGTTTGTATTATGAGATAATTGAAATTGTAGTTTTTATTTTATTTATTTATTGTTTGATAGAATTTAGATTTATATGCTTTAAAATATTCTTATTTTTTAATTGGCATTCCTTTACACAAAATTTTACAAGTTGTAATTTTTTTTTGTGTCTCTAAGATGACTAGATTTGTTTAGGAATGTTATTTAGGCACTTATATGAGATCCCAGATCAATTAGTAAATGCAATTTTTACTCAATACCAAAGCTACACAACACCTATCTGCAAATTCCTGCATAATAAATAAAATATTGAAAGACTCTGGTCTTCAAGAGACCTACATTACAAAAATAGTTGTAAAAAATTATGATTCGAACTAATTTGTTCAAACCTGACTAGTATCATTTGTTCATAAAAGTTATTTAACTTTTAGTTTAAGGAAATAATTTTTAAGCTGTATTTATAATGTAATGATTTCCTGCGCACATCATTACAACTCTTAAGAAAATGCACTATTTTATCATATGAAAGATTTGAGCATTTCATCATATAAATGAAGCGGTCAATGTTAAAAGGGGATATGTAACATTTTTATTAAAATAAGTTTTTTGTTGGTAACAATGCTTGCAGTGGTGTTTGACCATTGCCATTTTTGTTTTCAGCTTTTTCATGCTGTGCTTTAAGTTGCTCTTTTTCTTTTTTCCTTACTCACATCTAGTACTGTATTTAAGAAATCAAACTTTAGTATTTCTCTGATTTTAAGTTTTGGAATATCAATCGTCGATTATCAAATACAGAGTAATTTTCTAGACTGCCTAAAAGGAATCCAATAATTTGTAAGCAATTAAAATAATCTTTCCACAATTGACACAGTTTTTTTTGGTTTTTCTCTAAAGTGCAGATTTGCAACATACCACCCCTATTTAACATTGACCGCTTCAATTATAGTTACAACCATGAAATTATACAATACATAAACAAGTAGTGATCAATAATTTATTAAAGGATATATGCTTTATTTCCTTGTATATCTAAATCATAATGATAACGGCTGACACACTTTTATTAATATCCAAATGAATTTTAATAAAAATTTCGTACATTAAATATTCTTAGTCAATTATTTTTTATTTAATATAAATTTTTACTAGTTAAATGAAAAGATTTTATGAATAATTTTAATCGTTCTGTTTTTATTTCATAAGTGAAATTGTAAAAATAACTTTTTTTAAAACTAAATCCATTTAGTTATTTAGCTAGAAGCTAAGCAGAATTGGAGAATGTCATTTCCTAAATAGTATAGGATTTAAATAAAAAATGAATTCATTATTTTATATATTGATAATTGATTGGCTCAAAAATGCTTAATGCTTAGGTATTTTTTTTCACATTTACCTTTTTTACAGCTTTTTGTTACTATCATTGTTACAACTGTAATTTTAACTCCTTTAGTGTGTTTATATATTTTGTGAGAGTTTCATATGTGTGTTATTGTGCTTATAAAGCCATAACATCCTCCAAAATAAACTATCCGAATAAGGCATTTAAAGTCTTATCAATTGTCATTGATAACCTTAGTAATCACTAAATTAAAATTTTTACTTGATTGTCCTCATAAAAATTTAAAGAAAAAGAAAATTGCTAAAATTTTCACATTTCCTAAATTTCCTTCCTCTTTTTTTATTTATAAAGAAAATTATGTATAATTTTCACCCATACTATTCAGTTTTTATAATCTGAATTACTTTATTTCGAAGAATTCAACGTTTGTTGTAAAAACACCTTGCATATAACATTACATTGCATTCCTCAAAATGACTTGACTATGGATGCCTTTTAAATCACTTGCTGTACAAATTGTATAATCTATATTATCATTCTTATACAATGTACCATAAATTATTTACTACATAGTTCCAGTTGAGCACAATAAGAAATAGTTTATAGTTATATGTAATAAAAACGTATTACATGTCTCAAAAGAGCTCAATAATAGATGTTCTTCAAACTATTTACTATACAAATTGCATGCACTATATTATTTACTTTTTCATTCTAATAGAATGTGTTGTAAGTTATTACACAGTTCCAATAGTTTACCATCTTTTTTCTCGCAATGCTTGCAGTCCAGTCACAGTTATAGTCCCGTATGTCAAATCTTGATGATAACTTTGTAATTCTGCTTTAGCAGAACTGTTCAAAGAATGATTCACGGGATTTCCAAACTGTTTTTTACCATACTTCCTTTCAAATGAACGTTTCTCTGTTATAATTTCTTTTCCGTCGATATCCTGCAAAGAATAAATTACTATATTTTACACGAGAGTTATTTTATATTATATCATGCAAAATTTTTGTGTTAGTAATAAAAGTGATTTAGGGGAAAATAAAATAAAATTTAAGTTTTTTATTTTTTTTATTCCATTCTATACTTTACTTTATTATTAGTATTTACATTCTATATTTATTATATTCTATACATTATTTTCTTTTAAACCTTTTTTATTAAGAAACGAAATTTTACATTAAAAGTTTCTTCCACAATTTTGCAAAAAAATAAAACCTATATAATGTAAAAAAAATTTCTAATTAATACATTTACAAAGTTTATTTGCATTATATTATTATAAATGAGCATATTACAAGTTACTAATTTATAATTTGGGCAAAATGATTTTTTTCCTTTTGTCCATGTGTCCCTGCTTATTCACATTAAAATTTTTTTTGTTTAAAAAAATAGTGTTATTTTTTAAAAATAAAATCATTGCATTTTTAAATATCAATATTTTTAGGTACGCAATACATTTTTATGCAGTAACAAATCCATTGATAAGCTCAGATAACTCTTTTTTCTTTTTCTTTTTTTTTTTTAATCCTGACCTTAAAAAAAATAGATTCAAATTCTTTTGTTGCTTCTCATGAAAAAGAAAACAAGTTATGTTTTTGGATCATTCCTTATTTTTTTTTTTAAATAGATGGTTAAAATAATATAATTACTGTCTCTCTCATGAGCTTGATATGAGGACATATTTGTTTTTGCATCATAATGTTATACTGATTCGCATCTGGGCTGTAATTTACATGTAATCCTCATTTGGAAACCCTAAATAGTTCTCAAAAACCACGCCAGATGAAAGCCATCCAGGATATTTAAAAGTATATGATCTCTGGAAGTCAATGGAAAATTCAAGAAAGAAGTAAAAATCTGATATTTTGTTTATTTATTTTAGAGGGTATAATACATATCTTTTACATAAAAAACAAAATATGAATATTCACTTTTTCGATGATTAAAATTATGTTGATAAAATAAACCACAAAGACACCAATTTCTTACTATATAGGATAAACATTTCCGAAAATAAATTATTACATCACAATACTGAAAAATTAAATAAGTTTGTAGCATATTTAAGTATTTTTTGTAACTTAAATGAAATATTCATGGGCTACAATGGGTTAATTAATTAAAAATTATGTGCGCTAGACATTGTTGCAAATTTTTAAGTAGCAATATGTACAAATTTTAGAGTTCGTATTCTTCTTTTAAAAAAAGAATTTTTTCTGGTAACTTTGCTTTTCTTGTAAAATTGAAATTATACTTAAAATTTAGATTTTCGAATTTATTTATTTAAAAAATTAATAACAAACCTCAGGACTTTGTCCCCTCAATACTACTGGATGGCGAAATCCTAGACTGAACTTGCCCCGTTCAGAAAGAAAAGGTGGTGTCAAAGTTTTCCTTCCCATCGGAGCCATCGTTTGCTTCTTTGCAATTTGACTCCTCAAAAGGGCTTCTTTGCGCTCCTAAAATTATTTACGAAAGAGTTATATATAATTTTTTTACAATGCAATTTTGGGAAGTTTATAAAAGTGAAGTATGTCTATAGAAAAATTAATTATGTTATTTTCAAATGAAATTTAATTTGTTGAAAACGTCAGGTTACATTTTAAAAGATAATACTGACTTTAATTAAAAAGAGGTTTTGTTTGTTATAGGTACAGTTTTCAATTATTGTATGAAACTTACATCTATCGTTGGGATTTCATCAATAACTCTTTGTTTAACAAAAACCCTCTTCTCATTCTTTTTTTCTGTTGGGAGAAAAATACAAATTAAATTGTTGAATTGAATCAAATGAGGATTTAGTGGCACAAGGTCCAAAAAGTATATGCTGTGACAAGCAAATTAAATTGTATTTAACAAATAGTTATATTCCTACGCTAAAATTGTATTTTTTGCATTACCTGAAAATGAAGGCATGTGTATTGGAGGCATGACGGAGTCTTGTTTTCGTTCCTCATTTTCTCCAATCATCTTTGAAAAAAAAATAATTATAATTAGGGAATATTTTTTTATCTACATAATCTATGATAATTTTTACATATACAGCTATTTAAAAAGAGGGATGCATTAGGTTTAAAAAAAAATTTTTTTTGGGGTAATGTGAATTCATTTTACTACTTAGACTGTTTTTTAAACTCCTACTCAGAGCTTATTCTCTTTAGTATTATTTTTGGCAGTTCAATTTAAAAATTAATTTATGGTTCTACAGTTCTCTAGAAGATTCTTATAGCACTTTTCTTTCTTTTAATCTGTATTTATGACTCAGTTTGATTTTACTCTCTTCGTGGTTTTCCTCTCCATGTATTGGAACTAACTCCTTTTGATGGAACTAACTCTCACTTGCAAGTGAGAGTTAGTTCCATTAAAAAGTCCTCCACGAAGACAAATTTCTCCCAATTCTTGATCCAGGAGTTTCCTTGTCTTCTGGATTGGGTTCAAAATTTCAAAGCTATTGAGTTGAAAGTTGGTAGTCGTAAACCCTAAATTGGATCGTCTGTTCAACAACGGTTATAAATAAAATAAAATCTGTCGTAACAAATCACTATTGGTACTGAATTGGATGTTGTAGTTTGAAGTGTCTTTTCGGGGCAGACTTGGATCATTAATGCAAATTGATGGTATTATAAATCTCTTATTCTATATTGGAATATTATATGAATTTCGGCATTAAACAAAATGTTTCATGAAATGTCATGATTTTAACTATTTTTTTTTTTTTAAATCATGGAAAGTCATGGATTTAGGTCGCCAAAAAATCTAATTTTTAAAATGGATATAGAGATATAGATTTTTAAAATGAATAAATGACCTATAGAGCTTTTAATTTTGAATAAAAATCAAAATAAAAAATTTAATAATAGAAAAGAATAATATGAAGAAGGGATAATAAATAAACATTCTCGGCATTTGTATAAAGGATAAACAGATAGTGCACAGGTATTCTATTAATTTTATGCTGCTGATAGCTAAAGATTTCCGAATCTTTTTTAACACCTTAGTGCCAGATACTCTCTGTCCACCTCCGGCTACGCGGTAGGCGTATTGACAAAACATACCGTAGATTGTAAAAGGGTTGGCGAAAATATCTATCGGCGTTGAAGGAGCGTCTCGCAAATCGCCAAACAGCTGTGTGCTTATGTTTTTGTTTTGTTTTCGGTATCACGTATCTATCATTCACCAAGTTATATATGGGTGTCACATTTCAGAGATTCAAATAAGCTGATCTTCATTAGATTCTTCTGCATTAAATGAAATATAAAGCGTATTTTTTTGTTATAGCTCCGACATAATCGTTTGTATTTGTTAACATAATTGTGTTTATTAGCCATATTACGTCTATCATAGATATCTTTAAGACGTCTATACTTGTTGAGGATTTATAATACCAGATGGAGCTGAGCACAAACAATTTTTTTTATTATTTTTTTTCTGCACTTCTTAAGTTTCAGTTTAGATTTAACCTACTGAACCACAGTGGAATAAAATAATTTGAATCATTTCAATTTGTGTAATTATTGTTGAATTCGAGTTATGGTGCTACACCGGCCGAAAAATAGGCCACCTGCATGAAATATGAGTTAACATTTGTTTTGTTTTGGTCTCCCTTAAGTCGGTAATTTATTTTGATATTTTATTGTATTAATTGTATTGTATTTATTATAGTAACGTGCGAGCTGTTTATAATGGATGATTTTGAAAAATTAAAGTCCAAACGGGTTGTAATCAGACAGCTGATTACAAAATTAATAAATAAAATTGACAAATTGTTATTAGAAATACTTCCTGATGAGACCTTGTATGATTCACTAAATCAGTTAGTTGAAAAAAACGGAACTTTAAAGGATCTTGATTTGAAAATTGAAAATTATTTTGATAAAAGCGATGAATTAGAGAGTGAAATTATACAAAGTCAAGAGTATCAAGATCGAGTAGTGGCTTATAAAGGCAAAATTGAAAGATATTTACTGAAATGCCAGACTACAAGACAGGAAGTAACGATTAATAGTGGTAACAATAATTTACAAGAAAATATAACTTATGGAAATAT